ATGCTAGAAATATAAGCAAATATAATTGATAGAGATTTACATTTTTGATGTCTACTGGAGTTTAAACAGCTGCTTAGTAACAGCTAACAACATATCATCTTCTTTATACCAAACTAGGTCAGTAGAATATTAAGATAATTGCAACAGACATGTGTCTATTAGACTATAGTCGTGCTCACTTTATTTCTCACTCCTTGTATTTCATGTCGCAAAAATATTACTTCAAAAATAGAACATAAGATGTTTCCAAATCAAATTATAATTCAGTTGATCTATCTCCAGTCTATAGTTTTGATATAGCTTTGAATTCAGTGTTGTATCAAAGCGATAGGAAATAACCTAATACAGAAAAAGATCTATAACCCACTTTATGAAATACATCAAATTAAATATGTTGAGTGTGAATCAGATCATTTCCTTGGGGTTAGTGAATGTATTGTAACATGAAAACTCATTAAAACAGGCTTTCTTCTGTAATGATATTTACAAACTATTAAACTGCCCCAGAAGAGCAACCACTAATGTGGTGTAGCATGATAAAAATATGCTTTAAAACTTGTTAATGCTTATTAACAAGATGTATTTAAAGTCTTGATGTAACCTTTAACATAATTCCCTTTTTTCAACAGTTCCCTAAATTAACTGTTGAAAGTCTGACTGTATTGTTGGTAAATTGTCTGAGAACGATATTAAGTGGTATATGTTCAAATATATTAAAATAAATGAGTTTCGTTATCGCAAGCTTGATAGAATAGCGCAGGTACCCACCAACAGCGAAGAAACTCAACAGATTTCTAATACAAGTTTCCATTGAGCTTTAAATACACTTTGGGGATGATAAGAATTTTTGTGAATGGACATCAGTTAAATAATAGTAAATAATATGTATCTAAAAATTGTTTGGTATTATCAGACATTTCCAAGGGCAACTAAAATATTCTTCAAATAGAAAAAGTTATTCTATTATCACTGGGTTTTGTGAATCAAGTTGATACACTTAATAAACATAAGAACATTGGTCGACTCATCTTAAGTAGAATGAGCTTGAAATTAGTCATTTAAATCTTCTGAAAAACTATTAGCTGATTACTGGGGTTTTATTTTTAGTTTACTGATGATAATTTATAATTTTGAATAATTAATGATTTTATTTATTATGTTAATACTAGCTTCATAGTTACACGTACCAACGGTCACTTCGAACCTATTAGGTTGCCTTGAATCTAGTCTAGTTGGTCAGTTTTTAGCAAGATGTATCGGTAATCTTGAGAAAATTGTTACCTTACCAAAAATAATTTAAACCTATGTCACCTATATTCATAGTTAGAGATGTTAGAACTGAGTTATTCGCCTTGCGACTGACCTTTTAACCATCTAACACCCAAGCATTCCAAGAAACGATGAGTCACTTAGAGTAAATACCACATTAGACTTGATCAATAAAATTCAGTCAGCACAAACACGGTATTGGTTATCATTCAAAGATCAACTGATGTGCCCTTTAATTTGTTTACTCAAAACACTATATTCAATGTAACTAAGAAATTGATAGATAGTTAATTAGCTGTTTTTAACTTTTGATAATCAACCACTTTGAAGTTTGATATTTACTGTAGTGATTAATTTTACTGATAATTCCAAGGAAATTCTAATACTCAATAAGAATATTTAATTCACAAAATGAATTGTAATCAACCACTTCTTTCAAGTTCAAATAACTACAAAAGAAATTTTTAAAAATGTAAACATTTCAAATGTTTAATTAGTTTTAGGAGATTTATTTTAAATGTGATTTCTAGACAATTTGTTGCCTAGATCATATTTATTCGATTTTAACTCATGGGTAACTTATGTATCAATTAATGTAAGCATGTATGTGTATGTGCATTATTTATGTCTCAAAAAGTTCATTAGATATTACCTGGGCATCTGGTTTCAACCTTAACTAACTAGGAAATTAACCGATGGTAAGTGAATTAATAATAAATGTAAATCTTTGTAAAAGCTACACATCACAATGACTATGACCTATCTTATTCTTTTTGTTAACTTCCATAAATTATGTTTGCATACATAACAGAGTAAAAAAAAGTTACTGAAAGATATTATGTTTGAAATGGAACAAGTTATAAATGATTCGCTATCTTTAACCGATGAACTGTTAGTTAATGTCTACTAGTTTGATTCCTAGTTATTTCTATTTTTCATAACTGAAAATGAAGCATAGTAGTATACGGTTTACAAATTAAATATAATGGAGTTGAGATCAATAATTGCATAGAAAAAACTCTGATTTCATCTGATAAGTATGTTACAAGTCCTCAATGGTGCTTTGGTTTCATGTAAGGTGTTGATAGAAACAGAATATTACAATAGAAGGCCTTCGTTTGACACGCCAGGCCATGGTGTCAGTTCATGAAATTATGCCTTTTTTTATATGATATTAAAAAACTGTCTCTCGTTAATTCAACAGAACGAACTTTTTTAAAGTACTTAAATGACATAATTCGAAAGAACTCAGACTAAAATTAATACATACACTTTATGCTATTCCCCAGTACCGACCATTTGTTTTAGTGTCACGCATTCAAGACAGTCTGTAAGAATCGTTAAGCATATATAATAATGGCTTTTTTATGGCTGAACAATCAGTTAAATTTTCAATGTCGAGAAAACTGGTGTTGTTTGCTCAATAAACTCCAACTCATGCTACTCTGTTTGTAGTCTGGTCCCCACTTTGTTCAGAGGTGAATATCCATAATTGGTCAGAAGATGTAAGTCATGAAAGTGTGGTTATACTTCATAACATTTGTTATTCTTAAGTGATTGATTAGCGTACGTCAAGATTTATTTGTCTTTGATTATCTATTTTGTAATCTTTTTTATTCTGTTTATATTATCGGAATCCTTTTGTTGATATATTAGTGTTGAGTATTTTTTTAAAACTTGGTAACAACCCGGTACACTATTTTAGTTTAATTATGCTAAAAGACCGGCTACGAGTAAAATTAACTTCATTGTCTTCTTCAGTACCCTCACAAAATATTCATGGAAGTATTTAGTAAACTGGTGCATACACACACACACATGTTCACTAAAAATAGTAGTTCCCTGCTTTTTGGAACTTTAAAACAAAAAGAACATAGGGGAAATAAATAGGGCTAAACTAATTATTTAATGAGCTACCCTTATCATGAGTTTATAATTTGTCATATTTAGTAAAGCATTAAAATACGTAAATATAAATCTAACGACTATAATATGGGTAGGAAAAAACATAATGAAATAAGTAATTTATTCATTCTGCCACCCATATCCTTCAGTCTTGTGTGAATGTGTGTGCGTATATTTCTAGCAGTTCGTTTTCTTCTTAATCTAAGGTTTAAAAATATTCTACTCATTTATTTAAATAAAGCGATCTCCTACTGTGTATGAAGTATGAACAAAGCGTATTAGAGCAGACAATCGCTTTTAATAACTTCTTCATCTGGATCCATATTTATAAATCCTAAATTATCAGTGTCTATAAGATATGATTTTGTTGTTTGGTCTACTTCGATGAGAAACAACTACAAAATCAATGATCTCGTTCACTTATTATTATTATTATCATCTTTATTGCTGTCCACATACTTTGTAACCCTTTGCTAAAAATGAAAGTAATTTCTCCATCCTTCTACATTTTGTTGTCTCTTTCATCACATTTCTAATCATACTGTTGCAGCTTTTGTTGTGTCACAGTGGATTTTTTCCCACAATTCTGATAATTATCATTGATCAACAGTGTTGTGATTCGTTCAAAGGATGGGACATAAATATTCCTATCACTCTCATTATAACGTTTAATATTTGATATCATATATTTTAATTCCCTCTCTTCTCATTTTCTGAATTTTCTCAGTTTCTCTTCTGGAAATGGATGTAGAGAGATTTACACACACACACACACACACAGGGAACAGCAAATGTCTACTAGTACATTATGAAAACTTTAATAACATAAAACTAATGAGGATGATAATCAATTGAGAAATTAAAATTACTTAAGGCCATTAGAATTTTGTTCTTTTAAGAAAAACAAAACAATGGATATTATTTTCTGTATATCTCAGGTTAACGATGAAAAAGTGAGATGGAAAGAGCTCAAAGCTTACAAACACTACTATAAATACATACATATCATTACTATTTTTATTTGCAGTTTTATACAACAAACAAATGCCTTAGGCTGAATACAACACATAGGACTCTATTCTACAGTGTATATTTATATATGATTGTGTTGATTAGTATCTTGTATGTACATAAGTGAGTGCATTGTAGTAAGCTTAAACACCTTTCATTGGACTAGTTCAAACACGTGCGTATGTGTGTTCCATAAATAATAATAAAATTCTTACTGTCATACACCCTCGCTCCCCCCTCCCAATTTTCACAATCACTCAATTGGATTTATAAATGAAAATATAAACAATACGACAAAAATAATGCGTGCACACATAGACAGCATAGAAAATTTGTAAAGAGTGTACCGTGTGAACAAAACCGTGGGAACTAAATGGTTTGGACAGCTGCTAAATAAACCTATAGTTTTTCTTGTTTTCGGTTAAAATTCTCACGCTCTTCCACAATGTCATCATGTCTTTCGTAGATGAGAGAGTGGATTTCTTTCTATCCATATACACTAAATACAATAAGAATAATAATTATTACACTACTATTATTAATAATAACATTAACCAACACGGGTTGTAGTTTGTTGTAGTAGTAGTAGTAGTAGTAGTAATAGCTAAGCATGATTGTTAAAAATCATCCAATATAAATCTGCCTTTGAATAGTAGTCTTATCATTCACTCATATTATGCATGTGTTAAGGTCATCAATAAGAGTTGGCACATATACACTGATATAAATATTATGGATCCTTTTTTTAAATCTTTCTAACCAATTTATAATTAAGGATTGCACATATTTTGTTTTGCCCATGTACAACTTCTTCGATGTTAGTATTATCCCCGATGAATTCTCATCTTAATTTAAACACTGTTGTTACTGACGGCGATAATAGCAGTCTTGATGAAGACAATGAAGACGAAGAGGCAGAGGAAGAAGTCAATAAATATCATTTTCGTAAACTTAATGCTGACAATATAAACAATGATTATGTGTACAATATGAATTGTGAGCCTTCTGTTCCACATCATACTCGTCAGAGGCATCACCAAATCTTAACCAAACGACCAAGATTATCAACAATAACTTCTGAACAAGAAAGTTTTCATAATCAAATAAACACTACAAATAATAATAATACAAATCAACATCACATGAATTGTTCTCAACTACATCAAAGGGATTTAATAATCACATCAACTAGTATGTCAGTTGGATATACCACCAATGCTGTTATTACTAATAGTAATGAAAATAATAATGGAAATAATCCTTATACAACATTTCGTTCATTGTTATTACAATCTGACTATAACACTAATGATAATAGTTCACCAGAGAAAGAAAATCGAACGTCAATTTTGACATTGAAAAGTAGATTGAATCATTATGTCAGTGATGATGATGATGTTGATGATGATGTTCCTGATAATGAACATGTTGAGAATATGTCTACATCTGAATCGAATTTGATTCTTCATGAGGCTCATAATATCGATCGTTTCCCATCATTATTCAAACATAATTCTCATATAGATTATCATCAAGTTTTAAATGATGAAAGTGTTAGTAATAGAAATGATGAACTACATGAATATAAAGGTTAGTAGTAGTACAAAAAGTAGAGCATGTATTCAAAAGATATTTCTAAAAATCCTTTTAAGTATATAGTTTTTTATTTAACTAAGTAATGGTTATTGTCAGTGTATGTTAACATTTACCATGAGTACCAAGTTATTTTTTTAGTCACGAATAATTAGAAGCTAATGTACTTGTAAAGATTTAATTTAATATTTATACGAATTATGTCCAGTCATTATAATTTCTGTAGAGATTTATTTTAGAGTTCAAAATTACTTATCTTGGTCACAGTCTTAATTACCCGTCTTTTATTTACACTTTTCTATCTGTAAAATAAGAGGAATTCTGGATTTTAAAAAAAGATAGTATCTGATATTTGTAATTATATACTATGAAGTGATTCATATTTAATACAAGGGTACCCATTCTAGATTTTTTAAAATTTACTGAAGTAACTTTATCAGGGTTCAGGTTCCACCTGTTTAAGCAGTGATCAAACCAAGACATGATATGAAGTCATTGACTGTTGATTTGAGCCATGTTATTATGTGAAATCAACTAATTTGGGTCGATATAATAATCTTACACAGCGGTTAGAGACACTAAGAGACATGGCTCAGAACCAATACCATTAGTCCAGACGCATGAAGTCTTTATTTAGATTCACAGTTCTAGTACTATCTCATTCACATCCTTTCTTTTTGAGTTTTCGAACCACATTCTTAATGTACAGTCGTTCACTTTATCATTTTTACTATAATTCTTTCCACTCCTTTATCGTTCATTTTGATATTTTCATCTCATCATGCTAATACGATATGATAACTTGGTCTAACACATTTCTGTGTCAAGCTCCAAGTTGATTATAACCAGTTAATTGAATGATTGGCTCATTTAAGAATACATTAAAAAAATGTGATGTGTTATGATTTTCTGATAAAAAAGGGAACTGATGTTGCTTTTTTTCCTTTCACTGTATACTATGCTTACTTTTGCACTGATTTCACAACTAATTGCCTTCTTTAGCATATATTGAACAGGCACTTGGTAATTAAATTAAATTAACAATGAATCGTGACATGACTGAAAACTTGGTTTCAATAGTTCAAATTTTTTAAAATTATTTGTTGAATTTTACTAGTATTATTAATATAAAGTTTATCTGTTTGAACCGAAGTAAATCTGGTTTCATATTTCTTATGATTGAGTAGTTAACTAATAATATATAACTTTGTATAAGTCACATAGGTTTAGCACTGAGTGGATGCGTCGCTCAATTTCGTGGATTATTTGAAGTTGGACATTAACACCGGCTCAGTGGTCTAGAGTTTAAGCGTTTGCGCGCGAGACTGATAGGTCCTGTGTCCAAATCTCGCGAGGCGGGATCGTGGATGCACACTACTGAGGAGTCCCACAATGGAACGAAGCGGTAGTCCAGTGCTTCCAGGTTTTCCATGGTGATCTAGCTTCAACTGACTCATGATCTCAACCATTAAAATTACTATAATACCTACAAAAACCCCTTCTAATATTTTAATTTATTTCTTATTGCGATAGGTTTATTTAATGAACACATAGTGTAGGGGAGAGCTAATAAAAATCAAGAGCATAACATTTGGTTTCTTGTGCAAAAATTAAAAATCACACCTAGCAAGCAGTAAAAGTATTGTTCTGGCTCTCAGTATGTTTAAAATGATAATAAGAAATTATTTTTTGCATTATGAAATATAAATGACAGTGTTAGACGCATCAAACGCCTAATTATTTTTCCGTAGATTGTACAAAACAGGTATATCGACACTCACCTTAATCTGGTGATACTATATTTTATGAACTAAATAGATAGCGCTTCTTGGATTTTTATGCAAAATCGAATCATTCATTTGGCTATAGAGCACTTTCGTATCATAGCTGATGTCAGTTCATAACGAAAACTTTGATCCTAGACCACTAACCCTAAACGTAATCAGGAACAATATGTAAACTTTAAAATCTATCTGCATCCTGATCAGGGTTCGACGATTATATATATGGAGAGAGAGAGGTGAAGTTATATTGTCATGCGCATTACTTATGCGGACAGACATAAGTAGTATGTAGCATAAATTGGAAGTAGAACACTTACCACCAGAGTGAAATAAATAGAAGAGGAAACAAAAAGAAGAGCAATCAGAGTAATTATGTGAAGGATAACTGAAGGGAGATATGCAAATGTTGTATTTAATGTATGGTTTTCATATTTTGTAAATCTACTGTTTGATTTTGCATGAAATGGCGAATTGGTTTCCTTTACTTGAGTTATCGTTCATTGTAATACGTCGTGGTTTTCTCGCTTTGTAGACAAAGAAACCTTTAGAAGATTTCGATAGAGTCGCTAATTATGTAGAACCTATTCACACTTTTGTAAACACATTGTTTGCGTATTCAGAAATTGTACATTTACAAAAATTATTTTCTCACTAGCTAAGAGCTGGCTAAACATTTATCACAATTGTTATAAACCCATTCCTCCAACCGTTTATTTCTATTAACACTATCGACAATTAGAACAGATCAGCCTATTCTTTTCGTAAAATATGATAAACTTATCGAGTGTTATTGGCAAATAAAGTCTCTAAAGTATTTACTAAAAGTATTTATCGATTTCAAATTCCATAACATATGTACAAAATAACTTTCCTTTATGATACTTGTGAAATAATTGTACAGCCATTTTTCTATTAGAATAAATAATTGTAATTATGTTAAATACTTTCTCAAAACAAACGTAAAACTGAGTGTAGGAGAGAAACCTTAAGTGCAAGTCATTATATGTGAAAATTATATTTGAAATAATCTCGGCGGTTGAACTTTAAATAATTTTCACATATAATGACTTTTCTATACTCGGCGCCAAATTTCTATCAAACTATTTGTTCTAATCTTGACGAATATTCGTATAACTTAAATGCAAGTATTCACGTATAATCCGTTGAATCAGTGTAAAAGACCTCAAATGACTGATATGATTCATGTAGTTTTTACACGAAATCTTACCCCTAGTCAAATTAGGAAGTGGTAAGAATTACATTCAACTCTTGATCATCTTATGAGTTTTAACCTGATGAATACTGTGATAATTAACTGTAACTAAAGATGGAATAGTTTCATTCTAATTCATAATTGAAACTTCTAAAATATACATTGAGTATCTAATATGGCTTTTAATGTTATCCGCTTTAAGTTATCAGTGTTAAATGCAGTTTATAGCTAACGTTGATTCAACTGTTATAATGACCATAGATCAAAATCGACTGACAGATTTCTTATCAGTACTGATGACTTACCATACTTTTTTGGTTAACATTTAATCCCCTTAATTGAAGTGTCAAAATTTGATCGGTTCCTGGCACTATGTGACTTCTAATTACGGGTCACACAAGTGAAAGAGAAAGATACATTCGCAATATTGTTTACAATAACATTGAGTAAAAGGACAATTATAAATGAAATCCTTTATAGCGTATTTTGTTAATATTTTTTAGTATTCAGGACTTAATCAATGTAAAAATTTTAATTTATAACATGGATTAATTCAAGTTTTATATATTGTATAATTAATAGTAATTTTGATTTAATAGCTGTAAAGCATTATGAAGAAGCTATCGAAAATTATTATTCTCCTTGATATTTATTGTTTCTGACCATTCTATGGGGATTTTAAAACTGTTAAAATGTAGTACGGTTTCAATTCCCCTGAAGCCATTCAATGACTGACTGAGGTATATTGCAAGACTCCCCATTATTTTTAACAGTATCTTTGAAAATGACTGTTGACTGATTTAAAATGTCTTTTTATTTTGCTTTTAAGTTCCACAAATCAAAATCGGTTAAGTTATTCGTAAAGTGTGAACTAATAAGATTAGAGAAACTGTTATTCATTTAACTTACTAAAGCGGATTATCCCTTTTGCATAGTCTACAAACCAGGGTTTTTGGTTAGCTCTTTTTTTGGCAAGGTTTTTTTCTTTACCATCTAGAATTGATTATCCCACTTTCAACCATCCATTTTTAGCCTGCTTAGGATCGGCAGTAACCTTAGAGGGTCCCCAGGACGAGTTTTAGTCCTTATTAAATGCAGTGAAAGTTTACTGGAGAATAATAGGGATTAAAACCAAGTTCTTTCATTAGTATGTATATATGTGGAGATATTATTATTATTAAGCTTCCTTGTTTATCTGTTATTCCTTCTCATCTTTATCAAGTTAGTGTTTTTGTTTGATATTTATTGTTCTTTTGTTTTAAGCTCGTAAACCTGATATCTGGAAATATATTACTGAATATTATTCCAATAAATGACATTTTAATTAAGTAACGAAAATGAAATATTTATCAATTTTTAACATATTGTACACTTAATAACAAAGGTCATGATGATATTTTGTATATTTATATAACAAAACAAAACAATACTTTGAATAAGTCATTCACTACTATTCAATTATCAATAAATTTTAGTGCGTTAACAGTAGAAAGTTCATTTATTGATTTTTTGTTGTTGTTCAACATGTAATAAATTCTTAGTGATTAAAAAAAAACAGTTTTATTAAGTGAATTCTTCTTTGGTTTATTCAGTTATTACGCTCTGATTGAACTGAATTGAATTCAACATGGAATACATTTATTGTTTTCTAGGAATTAAAACTTCCAGTTTACAGTAAAGATACCGAAGCAACAACTGTCGATCAAAATTGGTTCTAATTTTCTTTTCATGCTAAAATTCAATTCAAAGACAATATATGATATATTTATCTCAAAATAAATAACTATTTAGAGAAGTTAAAAATAGGGAATTACCGTAAACACATCTTGTGTCCATGTATAATCTCAAATGTGTAAGAGTATAAATTACATCAAGATTGAAAATACTCATTATGATGAATAATTTCTTAAAGATTATCTCCAAATATGAAATACTGAAATGAAAAATTATTAACATAAGATAGTAAATGATCAGGCCTTACTGAAAGAGGCTTATCATAC